TAAAAATTATTTACTATTATACATAAAAAATAAAAATATTATATATAATAAAAATTATTTATTATATATATATGTATGTATATAATAAAAAAATATTTATTTATTATACTAAACGTGTGAGCCTCACGAGCCAAGCTTTATTGGACTTGAACTCAATTTAAACTGAGCTGAGCCAAACTTTTCATGGGCCGAACTCAAATAGCTCATGAGAAGCACGGCTCATGACCACCCCTAGCTAGAGCAACCCGAATTGATCTGATCTGCCAGCATACTAGAAGGCACATGATAAGCAGATTTGATTGAAAATTTTCCTCTGGGGTCCGAGGTCCAAATCAGCTTTTTTTCACCTCCCCCCACCCACCCCAAGCCTTGGGAGGTTCATATCACATATCTTGCTTACCATTATTGGGTAAAAAAGTTCCTTAGATCTTCCACTCATTCCAACATATTGGGTTTGAGGGTCAATCAGATCACTCACCCATTTAAGGTTGGCCAAATTTGTTCTGGGGCCCATAGGCAACTCAAATATCCACATATCTTCGCACTTCGCAGATGTCCATCTTGTCTCCGTTTGCATGCTCTTTCTTTCAAAACATCCCTACCAGCCATCAAGCTCTTGAAACCCTACGAGCAACTCGATGGAGGCACTAAACTCCAAAAATTTTTATTTCTCTAGCCAACTTGGGGAGCAGAGCCAAATTAAAGGCATGTGGATGTCTGAAGTCTAAACTACCACACAATTTGCTTTTACCAGCTGATCCAATTTATTTTCTGCCACCACATAGAGATTGTCCATGTAGGTTCAGCGGGTAGAGAATTTGTCATTGGGCCACGGCCCATGGGTCAATGGTCCGGCCGCCCCATTTGCCTGGTCAATTCCTCAAATAAAATTTGGAAAACAAAAAAATAAAAAAAAAATTGAAAAAATATGTCAATTTTTTATAAGATATCTTGCCTAAGATAAACTTAAATCAATAAATATTATAGGTTACGACAACCACAAACACATGTATTTGGGGTAAATTTGACTTGACAATGTCATAATAACAATAAGAAGAAGTTCAGATGAGTAAAGTAGGTCAGGGCTATTTCTATCATTTAAAATTATTGATGAGTGACAAAGACTTGACATAAGGGTAGTAGTTTACAACATCCAAAGCAAACTAGTAGGGATCCAATGAGGTATCCAAAAAATAGGGAGAATTGCCACAACGATAGCTAATTGTGTGTTGAGGGGATTTACTAGTCTTCAAACCAATGAACAAAGGCATTAATGGTTTTAAAATAACTTCCTCATATATGTAATGCCAGTGGTCGCCTTTAGTCGTGTAAAAAAAATGAATAAATTTTGAATGTCCTTGAATCCCCAAGAAGAGGAGAGAGAGAGAGAGAGCTGGGACACTAAAACTTGTTTGGGCACAATAATTTCAAAATTTAGATGGAGAAAGTGGTGAAGGAGATTTAGTTGCTATCTCAAAGTATAAAAACATCATCAAAATTTTAAAGTTGACCTAATGGGTACTATTAACCCAAAACTACACAACCCATTTAAATCTATCCAATGGGTGACTCACAGACTCAGCCCATCATTAAAAGGCAAAAGGCCAGTATAGGTGGATCGGTGAAATGGGTTGCCAATAAATTCCTACCTTTAATTACATATTATTTAATTATAAGAAGAAAAACTATGTAGAAGATTAGAGAATGTCCAAAGTATCATATCGAATAAGATCTGTTTGGTTCGTTGGAATAGGGGTCTAGAATCAGAACCAATCATTTGGTTGGGCGGAAAGGGAATCTTATCATCTAGGGATGGATTTGAATTAAACTAAGTCAAATACCTGACTATTCAAGCTTGGCTCACCAAAAGAAAATGAGGTTCTAGTTCAAACTCGAATTAAAGACTTGAGCTCAATTTTAGCTCGACACAAAAGCTCATAAGTTTGATTTTGGCTAGCCCAAAGAATATGAGCTCAAACTATAGATTTGAGTTCAATTTTTGCTCGACACAAAAGCTCACATGTTTGAGCTCAGCTTGGCTCGAGTTCAATTGTGGTCCAAGCTTTATATAATATGTGTGTGTAAACATGTATTTTGTCACTAAAATAATGTGTAATTATTTTTACATGTAATATATGTATATAATTATTATTTTATGTTTAATTTATATTTTTTAATTATGCTTTTATTTTTTTTATTTGTAAAAAAATTTAAATATTATTATTTGAGGCCAAAAGTTTTTTTTAGAGAATAGTGTGGGTAAAGAGCCATTGGCACCTTGGGATACATAGATTTCAAAAAGTTACCCAAAATTCAAAAAAAAAGGATCACTCCAATAGAACATCTAAGAACAAAGCTATGGCTTCTGGAAGTTTGTATATACATTGAGTATGCAACTAATAACCTAGTGACCAGGGGCGGAGGTAGAAAATTTTCATGAGGGGGCCAAAACCTAAAGTGGCTTAGGGAGGGGGGAATAAAAAGCTCCCCTGGGTCCCCTTGGCTTTGCCCCTGCTAGTGGCCAAGTCAAATAGGTCAATGGTTCAATGGCCCAAATCAGATAGTCTTTTTACCAGGTCAATGATTTTGACCAAAAGATGGTTTCATGCAAACTAGACTTGGAATCTTGACCAAATGATGGAATGATTCAATCATCCAGGCCAATGATGGATTTAAAACACTAATTCTTATTCCAATTTTGATTTCTATGTGAGTTAAACAAGCGGGGGAATAAAGTATTCCAATTCCTATTTTAGTTTTGACTGTGAACCAATTGGACCCTAATAGATTTATTTTTATCAACCTAAAATATATTTTTGTCTTTACTTATATACATGCATAGCAAATGCGGGAAAAAGAAAAAGAAAAACTTGAAAGGGTAAATAAGAAGAGAAGTTAAAAAGAGAGAAATTTGAGAGATGACTAATGAAGGTGTATAAGCTAAATTTATAACTTGTTAAATGTTTTTTTAAACTAGAAGAGAATCTATGCAGAATTTATTGCTTCCTAAAAGCCAAAGAGAAAGTGCTTCATTTATGTATAAAAAAATGAGGGTCACTCAAATCAGCCCATGCCTCTAGAAAGAAAACCTAAAACATATACACATGGGAATATGTATCAAGTGTAACAGTCATAAATGCAAATCTCAGCAAAATCTATCTCTAACAGCCAAATCTACAAAAAACTTAGTCCACGTGGCATGCCTATGCCTATCTCTCTTTTGTCCACGTGGCATGCCTATGACTCGAAAGACTGAAGGCCCTAGAAAAAAGAATGGGTCAGCTCTTATAGGTGTTCCTCACGCCAACTTCACAGCACATTGCACGTGGGGAATATCCCTTGTATTTGTATATATTGTCATATTCATCGAGAGAAGAGCAAATCCAAATCCCCCAGAGAAAGCTTGGCTACTACGGTTTAAACTCTACTTTGAGGCCTCACATTGCTATTTCACAATTTTTTTTTTCTTTTTTTGTTTTTATTTGCTTTAGTGATTTTTTTTGGTAAACCCATTCTTTCCAAACAATGCTTTAAAAAAGGCATTTGGGGTGTGCGCAAGGAGGTGTGCCTCTGGGTGAGATGCATTTGGGGCCTCTAAGGCATATGACTCAAATGCATTTTGCATGAAGTATATGTTTAGATATAATCTCATGCATGTCTCATAAGAACAATCACATTATGCCTCTAAGGCTAATCTTCATTACAACCAGCAAGAGACCTTACCAACTAATTGATCGACATCTTGCACCTTGTGATAGTAGAAAAATCGCATTATGCCTCTACATTTTACAACTTTATCTCAAACCTGAGCCTTGAGAAAAGCTTGGTCAAATAAACTCACTTAAGACATCTCTTACTTGTTGGATAAACGACATAAACTCTTGCGGTTTAGGGTGAATAAAAGGTTCTAAACCTAAACAGATCAATCAAATCAAAATTAATAAGGGATGGATAGATTCAATTGATTTTCCCTAATCACCATAAAGACCTTTACCCAATGTTGGGTCCCAATTCTCGGGGTGTTGGGACTTGAGGATGGGGACTGGACAAGGACCTACCCTCCAGCTTTTTTTAACATAAAGTGGCTCTCTTGGGCTGAAACCAGCATTCTGACGACACTAGTCAGCCTGGCCCTCTAATTACCCTTATAGGTGGGTTCTTGCCCTCTTGGTACCTAGATTACAAATTAATGTGGAGGACCATCTAATAAAGACAACTACCTCCTTAGAGTAACTGGATTTATCGATTTTTCTCTTAAATTAAGAATTAACTATGTTGATTTTGCAGCTAGACTGATATATATGCTGTAAATAATTCTACTCGTATATTTTGATATAAAAAAGTAAAACCGCAAGAGTGTAAATGTTGCACTCTAACACTGTAAGTATTATACTTTATCCATGCAAGATTTATAGGCAAATGTCTCAGGGTGCAACGTTTACAGCTCAGAGTCTAAGATTTACAGACCTATAGTACATTTGTAATACCAGTACCATGGTACATGTTTCTGTACCAGAAAATTTCTGATATTTCTATAAATGCTATTTTTCTTCTTTACAAGGTATGGTATCGATTTAATGGTGATGGCTAATTGTGATGAAGTGTCAAACATAATACCAGTACCCGTGCTAAACACGGTGTCATTAGCTATCTAGCATATTTATTGATTCTGAGCTGTTTAGGGGCTACCCTGCCGGATTTCAAACGTTACAATATTCTCCTTTTTTAAATTCTACTACCCAAAAGTGATGGTATGTGCACAGCATGGTTTTATTACAATAGATCTGACATACACCCATGAATCCTGACCATCCAAGTGCTGATATTTATGCGCAGTAGTGTTTGATGATTGGTTGGACGATCAGGATCAATGGGTATACATGATTTATTGCATGGTGAGCACACAGCCTTGTGCATGAGACTCCAGGCTGCCATTTCTTTTGAAAATATTGTTTTGTGCTTGACTGGTTTCTAGTTATAAATGGGCACCATTCAAGCTTGAAAGAATAGGACAGAAAGTAGAGAGAGAGAGAGAGAGGGAGGAAGGAGAAAAGAAACAAAAAGAATGGAGGGCATTCAGATCTTTGTCTGCAGTTGGGTTGTTGCTTGTCTGAGTGGCTTCTGCGTTTACCTCTATCATGTTCTCTGGTTGAGAACTGAAAAGCTACGAGAGAAGCTGAGGAAGCAAGGTTTCAGAGGTCCTCCTCCTTCTTTTCTCTGTGGGAACTTTTTAGAGATGAAGAGAATCGAGTCTATGGTGGCCATGTCTCCCAGAAAACAAGATGGCTGTCTAACGGACGACTATGCACCTTCACTCTTCCCTTATCTGGAGCTCTGGAGAAAGGAATATGGTATGGTTCAGTTTCACTTTTATTTGATTTTCCTTTAGGCTCCAATTTGTCTTTTGCTTTGGCTTATTCTATTTATCTGTTGCTTCTCTCTACCATCTTATGGTTAGTAGTGGTTTGGGGCCCATCACATTTTGTCAGATTTATAAAGCCTTCTCAATTGGGGAAGGGTAAGCCTTCTGAATTGGGGGAGGGGGGCCCATATCCTACAATCTCTCTCTCTCAAGTTGAACAGTTATTTTGAACAGACTGGTCTCAGAAAAAATGTTATCTTTAGGAAGTTTAAACATTAATTTTGAGATTGAAATTGGTCAAATTTGAAATCCTTAGGGGAGGGGTGGTGATGTTGAAATCCCTCTTGTGGGGGAAGTAGAAAACGTGTTGGGTTCACTTCTATTTCCACAGAGTGTTGCAAAATGGAAGAGGATCAAGCCGAAGACCGTCAAGATTTTCCGATTCCCTAGACATAGATGCTGGGCTTTGATCCATTGAAGTCAATTTGAAGCGACAAAAGCATGTGCTGCTGCATGTAGAATAGATAAATAAATTAAAGATAGTGCATTTCTGCCACACAATCTGCACTCTAGGCCGGCACGGGATGGGGGATTTTTAAGTTTCCACAACCCTTAGGGTTTATGGAAATCTACTCCTTTGACCTATAATTAAGGCCGTCGTCCTTGCATAAAAAATAGGAGAGAGTCAATGCTTGGTTCTCAGCAATAATAAAAATTCGAGTCTAAAAGCAGTCACTCCGGATCTGTTCCTCAGAGTGTTCTTCACACCAATTTTACAGTACATTCTAGTCGCATGTGAGGAGTATTTCCTATACTTATGTGTTGTTATTCATGGGAAGAAGTTTTCAATACACAGTGGAATGTGTTATAGATGGTGGATTAAGTAGTAAGCTTCTCTATAAAAACAATCTAGGCCATCCATCATATAGGAATCCTTTGGGCTGGACACGTCGAATCAACATTTTTCGAGTAGGGCATTGCCCTAGAAGAGCTTCTATATTTTTGCCACTTGGAGGGATGATATGGGCAATCCAACCTGCCCATCAAGTAGGGGACCTTCAGACTGGTCGCTTGTCCAATCTTCCAGTTTCTGCACATCAGCATGTGGTTCATCTTTTATTAGGGTTTAATTTCTGCAAATAATTTCAGCAGGTGAGAGTTTACAACTTGTCTGAGAAAAGAGGGGCTTACTCTGACCACACAGAAAAGGGTGTTTGGGCTCAAATTTGCCCCATTGATGGGGGGATGGCAAGAGCAACATCTGGGACCATTCTGGGCCCAAAACTAATTTGTCACATGAAAGATTCTTTGTTCATTAATAGGCTATAGCTACATGCATTGTAACTTTATGCCAGGCTCTCAGCATGTGGAAAGCAATAGATTTAATTAACAGACAAAGATGAATTGGCCCCAAGTCTGATCTGTTTTTGTAGTTAAAAGACTCTCTTTTAGCTTGTTGCTGTGGAAGAAAAATGGTTCAGGGTAGCTTGCCTTTTGATAATGACTGAATTGGCTTAATTGAATGAGTTATTACTTTGTTTTTTTTAATGAATAAGTCATTAAGTAGGTTGCAAGCTCGAGCTCCTCCACCACTGAATGACATCTGGGGTCACTATTATACCCCTAAATTTATCTTTATGTGACTAACTTATTCACTAAATAGCAGGCTTAAAATAATTACTAAGAACAAATTGATAGGCCAGCCAATTCAGCTATCATCTGATTACCCATGGTTGCATGTCAACTTTTCAACAGTTGAACTCTGTACGCATTCCTCTGTCATTTCCCATTCAATTTTCCTGACATGCATAGTCATTTTCTGGGCAAAAGATCATAACACTCACTGGGTTACAGTTTTATCGGTTAATCAGCCAAGAGTTGTCAAAGAACCAAGGCTAAAAAAGGCTCATGGTTCGACAGTCTGGTCTGGACCAACGAAAGCTCAGTGGGTTACAATTTTATCGGTTAATTAGCCGGTTAGATCATCCAACCTGTAAGAATTGTCAAATAATCGGGATTCAAGACCCAAAAATCTCACCGGTTCAACCATCCGGTCTGATCCGAGTCTGACAAAAGTTCTGTACATGGGCCCGCAGAAATCAGTTTCAAGTTGTTACTGATGAATTAAAGAGTTTTTTTTTTTTTTTGCAGGTTCAGCATTTATGTTTACAACAGGTAACGTTCAACATTTGTACATCAGTGATCCAAATCTGGTGAAGGAGATAAGCCTGTGCAAATCTTGGGATTTAGGGAAGCCCTCTTATGTGATTGAGCAACTTGGGCCTTTGCTGGGCCGTGGCGTTACACTGTCCAATGGACATCTGTGGGCCCACCAGCGAAAACTAATAGCATCGGAGTTCTTCATGGATAAAGTGAAGGTGAATTTGAATTCCTATTCGTTTAATTAATATGCATTTTCTTAACTTCTTGGGTCGGTGGGGTGTAACTTGGGCCGGCCTAAGTTGAGAATTTGGTGCATTTGGAAGGGCTCGGCCCAAATGTTCCAGGCCCAAAGCAATGGAAATTCTTGAAATCAGGAATTAGATTTCCACCCCTTAAGGCTATGTTTGGTTTGAAGGAAAAAGTAGGAAAAGGAAGGGAGAGGTAGTTTATAATGGTCACTCGGGCCAGGTTGGGAAAGAGTATAAATACAAATCTGTACAGTACAAATATATACAAAATACAAGGTTTTGCACTATACATATCTGTATTTCTACTCCTTCCAAGCTGAGCCTCAGTCACAAATCAAAGACCATCAGGGTTTCAGTTTCTAAACCTGGTTCAAGTCTGATCTGAATCTGATGGATAAAATTTGATCCAGGTTCAAATATGAACGCATCAAATTTGGATATAATCCCCATCTGATCCATTTGTAGCCCTAATGCAAATTAAAAAACCATTGACTACAATTCAGGTCAGGTAGGGGTGCAACTTGAGTTGGGCCAACCAAACCCAACCCGATAAGTTAGGGTTGGCTTGGGTTGATAATTGGGTTAGGATAAGGGTTGAAAAATGGGTTGATGCCTTAAGATGTTACACTTTTAATTGTATATTCCTGTATGTTAATTATGATACACATATTCATTCATGTAAGTATGCTTATGGGAGAAAAGGAGAGAGGATGGTGACAAGGGTGGTTTGTTATATATAAAATACTTGTTGAGAGCTTGTGATGCATGGGCTTTATTAAGCAAACTAATATAAAATTAGCTATTTATACTAATTTAAAATTAATTTTAATTATTATAATATGATTAAATATTTTTTTATTAATGGTCACAAAGCTATAAACAGACAAGCTTGGGAACCTTCATAAATACATTAATGTATATCAACTAGTTACTTGAAGAATTTCGGAGGCTTCTGGTTGATTGGGTTTCTTGGCCCTAAATAAAGCCCTGAGGTGCAAACCATTCACTAAGGTTTCACATATCTTTCTTGACCCAGAAGTCTATTGATTTTTTTTTTCTTTTCCAATTAACCAATTTGATTCATTGAAGAAATTGGGATTGAAATCTCTTGGCTGGAACCCTAGTTTTCTTCCTTTCTCATAAAAAAAAAACTTTAATTTTGTTGGTTACAATAATCAAATCTTAGGTAATGGAAAATGAGTTGGCTCCATGATTTTTCCTACTAACATAAATTAAACTTACAATTTGACTCGATGATTTTTTTTCACAGTACGAAATATTCACTCTTGGTGGGGTTTCAAATGCTCTCATAAACCTAATGATATATCATTTAACTTATGGCACTTGTATGTAGGGAATGGTGGGACTAATGGTTGAGTCTACCCTGCCACTGTTGAAATTGTGGGAGGATTTGGTTGAAGCTGAGGGAGGGCTTGCAGACATTAGAATTGATGAGGACTTGAGAAACTTATCAGCAGATGTAATCTCAAGAACTTGTTTTGGGAGTTCTTATTCTGAGGGAAAGGAGATTTTTTCACTGCTTTGGAAGCTTCAAAAGACCATGTCTCGCACAACCATACTCATTAGGCTTCCAATTCTGAGGTATTGCTTCTAGGACATGAAACTGGTCAAGTTTGGAGTTCTTGTCAGCTCCAGCCCAGGCCCAGAAATGAAATTCTATGGTGGGTCCATGTATGGCCCAAAATCTATCCAGATCAACATTATAACAATTACAAGATGGTTTGTTAACTTTTTCTAAGAATTACAAAAGCATTTATCTGTATTTTTCCAGATATCTCCCAACCAGAAACAATAGAGAAGCTTGGAGGTTAGAGAAAGAGATTGAGAAATTGATTTTAGAGGTAGTAAGAAAACGTAGGGAACAAAATGTTGCATCTTCTGAGAAAGACCTATTCCAGATGATCCTTGAAGGTGTCTATGCTGATCAGCTTGGGCAAAAAACAGCCAATAGCTTGGTTGTAGATAACTGCAAGAACATATATGTCGCCGGCCATGAGACCGTCGCTTCTGCTGCTACATGGACCTTGATGCTACTTGCTTTACACCCGGAATGGCAGTCTCGAGCTCGCAAGGAGGCCATTGAGGTGCTTGGAGGTTGCCTGCCAAACGCTGATATGTTGCACAAGATGAAAATGGTATGTTTGCTTCTTTGTTATATGGCAGTTTCTATGGCGTTGGAAAGGTATGGTATCTGAAAAACTTTAACCAATTAGAGACTTCCACGAAATTGAATGAATACCAGTTGATTGGTTCCCAATTGGGTGATACTAGTCGAGGAAAATTGACAACTAGCAGCTAAAAGTCACTTGGGATCTGCTACCCACAAGTTGTTCCCACATCCCTACCCACCAAGCACCACCATCGTGTATTGGGAACATCTTCCCATGAATGACAAGGGAGATATTGCCGATGCACAACTGTAATGTCTCATGGGTAGAGATGTGGGAACAGCTCGTGAGTAGAAGATCCGAGCCCACTAAGAGTCTGGATCTGCTACTCACAATGCTACCTACAACTAAAAGGCATTCTACAGCTGCACATTGAGAGCATCTCAATTGCCAGCCATGCGGAGATGTTCCCGATATGTGGCTGTAGCTGCATCGCACTGCCGCATAAACAATGGATCGTCTTGTTAGTACGTGTCAGTAGAAGGTTTGAGCTCGACTAATAATAGGGCTGGTTCTGGGTCAGAAAGTCTCGGTCTGAACTGGGCTTAACGATTAGGAACCAGGTCTACCTGGACTTGACCCAACTAATTGACATCCCTAAAACTGCTTTTCTTTTAACTGATAACCCAATCTTGCAGCTGACAATGGTGATTCAAGAGGCACTGAGGCTGTTCCCTCCATCCTCACTGATTGCAAGGGAGGCCTTTGAAGAGATTCACTTGGATGAAGTCTGTATACCAAAAGGCGTCAACCTTTGGATCCCAATATCCACAGTGCATCGCATGCCGGAAATTTGGGGACCAGACTCAGATAGGTTTAAGCCAGAGAGGTTTGCTCATGGCATCTTTGGTGCCTGCAAGCTTCCACATATGTACATTCCATTTGGGCTTGGGCCTAGGGCATGTTTGGGTCAGAAATTTGCCGTGGTTGAGTTGAAGATTCTTCTTTCTCTTATACTTTCTAAGTTCTCTTTCTCACTCTCTCCCAATTACATCCATTCTCCAGCATTCCGATTTGTTATACAGCCCCAATATGGAATGCCTCTCCTTGTACAAAGAGCATGATTTTAAAGAATTGAGTACATGTAGATAATATAAGGATCATAAGGGCTTTTGTAGTCATTTCTCAGTTTTCACAACTAAGTTTTGATTTCTTTTGGCTTAGCACAAGTCAAGAAAAATTCATGCTTCTGGTTAGACTAAGAAAATAAGTAGGTTTTTACTTGGAAAACAAAACATAATGATTGAAAAATATACATGTTGGAAGATATGAATAGAAAAGACCAACCTCAGAAAAGTTACAAATATTAGTCTTATATTTGATGTGGTTCCATAGCTTATCCCCATATGGATATCTTATGCATAAACTTGATTTGTTAATTGGTTCTTTAGACTGTGTTTGGTTGCAATGCAAATAAATTTGCACTGATACAAACTCATGGCAGTATAAATGATTTGAGTGTAAATTCTGACCTATTTTTGTTTCAAATTTTAGCTTATTTTGTTTGATTGCAATACAAATGAAGTAAATTAAGACATGAAACAGAATAAAGTAAAATCCAAAACAAAATTAAACAAGAATTTGCAATTTTTACATTTGCACTCCCATGCATTTGTACTAATGCAGATAAATTTGCACCACTGCAACCAAATACAACCTTAGGCTCCATTTGGGAAGAATGCAAATAGAGTTCTAAAACAGATATGTAGAATGCACTTTGATCCATGTAATAGTTTTAAGTTGATAAATTCACTTTCTTTCCAAACAATTTTTAGTTGTAATGGGTGCAAACACAAATCCCAAGACTGGAATATACATTTTTAACATTGATCTAACTTTGAGTGCAAAACTTGCATCCTTTTTTCTGATGTAAACTTTGCTCTCATTTTGGATGCGAACATGCCTTAAAATTTGTGAAAACTGCCGCTTTCAATACATAAGCGCATTCTTACCAAACATCTGCAAAACTAAATGGAGTTATACTCAGTTTCAGAGTGCATATATACACTGAACCAGCATTTACACTCTTTCCAAATGGAGTTATGCTCAGTTTGGGAAGAGCACAAATATGTACAGTGCAAAACCTTGTATATTGTATTTATTGTACAATAAATATTTGTTTTTGTACTCTTCCCAAAGGGGAGCCTTAAAAAGGTGAAAAGCTATATTGGCCATTTAAAGTTGTAAAATGACAGTCCATATTTTTTTTAACTGCAAGGGTTCATATATGGCCAATTGGCCATAAAAAGTTGTCATATATCATGTTTGCAGTCTTTGAAACAGGGCTGGAGATCATCTTGTATGGTTATTCTAAAGTGGCAAGGCTTTTGAGGTCCCCCTAGGTTTTTCTCAATTTCAGATTTTTAGCAACAAAATTCCACGCTGGTTGCCCCTCCAACGGGATGAAGTTTGGGGTAAAAAAAAAAAAAAAGATAAAAACAAAACAGGATGTACATGAGATCAACTGACCTTTACCACGGGGAGCCTGCAAATAATATGGACTTTATCCTGCACCTCTATACTTGAAAGGACACCAAGTGACCATCTCAGCTATTGGGTTGTGGGGTACTATCAGCATTTTCTGAATTTCAATAAAGTTTGAATTACCCCACATGTAAATATAAGTTTGATAAAAGGAGTGTTGCCTTAGAAGGGATGTCATTTTCCTAAAATTAGTGCTTTGTGAAAACCATTTTTTTTCCTTTGCACCATTGTATATGCAACCAGACACCTTAAATTACCAAATTTCAGGAAGCCATTTGTTCTCTTTCATTTTACATGCAACCAAACGGAGCCTTTGTGGAAAACGAGAGTTAGTTAAGAAGCAATACAATCATCTAGTGAATTTTCCTGATTTGCTCTCTTTCATTTAGGAAGCTTTCTCCATTAAACAATGAGATAGATCTTCTAGCATGGTCACTTAGCTTCCCTACCATAACCCAACAATGGGATTTACGATGAGAAATTCACAAGTTCATCCAAAATATGAACTTAATTAACATTTCTTTGGATTAATAGAAACAAAAAAAGGATGTTAGATTTTCATTTTAAGGCTGCCCATGAATATATAGCAAATTCACATACAATATGTGTACTATACATGTACGGATGGATTCATTAACAATACAGCTTTTCAAAAGCATGGGAAAAAATATGGGAAATTTTAATTTTGTATATGTTTTTAAAATTGTTTAGACTACGATGCCAGAAAGACATAATACCGGAAAAACTTATAACCAATCAACCAGCATCATAAAAGTGGTAATACTAATAATACACTGAATTTTTAACTCTAAACATGGCTTTTATTTTGGAAACTTAAGCTGTTATTTCATGCAATTTATTGGTGACCTTCCTAAAAACAGAATTTTACATAGTTTAATGAAATTTGACCAATATTTCTGAACACCTTAATGAGGAAGCATTAAGCATGAATTCCTATTGGATTGATCTTTACTGTATTACAATTATTTGGCCAAATTTTTTGCCATATTCTTGCTTCTGAATTGTACACAAATGTTTTCCATACCATATTCTTTATGCCATACACGTATTACTAGCTATGCTCAGTTGCTCACTACCAAGTGGGTAGGGACATGGTTCATGGGAGTTAATTTTGATGGAAAAAAGTTCCATTCCAGACAGAGGTTGGCCTCCACCAAGAAATTGATCTATGAGGCTATGACACCTACCTACACATGAAGAAGATAGGTTTGGTGAACAAACAAGCCAAGCACAGACAATGCTTTATGCCAAACTAATTGTTAGTGTCCTACCCATACCCTTGACTAGGTGCAGGACTGCAGCTAAGTATACATTTCTCAGTTCTTATTGGTCAACCTGAACTTGGTCTATCTTGCAGTACCTGGTGTGGGCTCCAGAGAAATAAACGGAACCAAGTCCAACCATCAACAGAGGCCTGGAGATAAAAGATAAATGGCAAACATTGCCTTGGTTCAATCCAGATGTTAATTACTTGGTGCAGTTACGATGGTGGAAAACTCTAAACTGGTGTATAAGCCACCTTGCTTCTGCAATGGCCCATTTTGCTTGTTTTCTAATAATGTGGTTAATTGGCCCTTACAATCATCAAACATAGAATTCCTTGTGACAGGTTCTGGTTTCAAATTTAGTCTGCACTCTTCAGTTATTCATCCGGAAGAAACCCAACTTTGCTGCATAAATTACAAAAGGCCTATGATTCCAGGAATTATTATCAACAGGCAGACAGTTGAAATGTTCAATATTTTACTAGAATATTTTTCACATAAAGCATACATGTACAACAGTTGATTATATAGTTAAATTTTAAGAGAAAAAGAAATAAGGAAAAATAGGAGCATACCTGTGGCTCAACGTCAATTTGAGGGTTCTAAACCCCCAAGCACTTCTAGGGACGAAGTTTTCTCAGTAACCACTTCTTTCTTAGAGTTACATCCAAGGCCAAAAAGGTCTTTGCCTTTTTCTCATCCTCCAAAAGGTCACAAGCATCCAATAAGAGGTCATCATCTATGTCTGGTACAGCTTGAAGTGCGGCAATCACATTTTCAATGGAAACATTTTCTTTCTTATTTGTGAAGGATGTGACTAAACCTGTCATCTCAGAAATAACATCCAGAACTCCTTCACTAGTTCTATGTACTTTCCTAGAATGTTGAGAAACTGATTGTATCACAAGTTGACGCTTATTATGTTGGTCAGACATTTCCATTTCCCTCCCTGAATTTGATAACTCCTGTACATTATCAACCAAATCTCTTGGGAAAGTAGACATAACTGGAGATTGCAAACTCTCAAAACTTTCACCATTCATTTGTAAAATGTCTTGACTAAAGTCTACATCTTGACATGAATGGTTGTCTCTTTCATCAGTGGTTTCATTTCCACATATAGCAGACAAGTCATTATAGTTTGCCAAGATTTGAGCTTTATATGATGGTGCATCTGGGTGTTCCTGCAGATAACATAGGTAAGCTATCAACATCGGTGCCAAATGTAAGAAATTTTGACAGAGAAAGCAAAGTACCTTGAGGTAAATATTCCAGATGTCATCATCAGCTGTTATCATTTGTTGTGCAATATCCCAAGAAAACCCACTCTGGTTCAGAAGAATCTTTATATCATTGTATTGCTTCTTCAAGTTTCTATACCGATTTTCCAAAACATCTTTGTCATAGTGAGACTCAAATTTTGCATTGAACATTGCAAGCATGTGTCTCCATGCTTGTTCATTGAAGGTATGATCAACTTGATTCCCTCCATGCACTTGGTCCAGCATAAGTTCAATGAAATAATGGTCCATCTCCGATGTCCAATCTGTACTTGAAAGATCACTGCTAGATGGAGCCTGCTGATCCAGTCCTCCTACAAGGTGAATTGCCATTTATTCATCAAAAGTATTATTTCTGGTATACACTTAATCATATTATTTAAACCAGTCAATGTTCATTAACCACAGTTCCCTTTCATCTCCAAACCCATTCACCCACCCACCTGGGAAAGCTGTCCCTAAGTTTCATGAAATTTGTCATAATTCATTGAATAAAGAGCATTTAGGATCCTAAAATAAGCTGATATTTGCACTACACGTTCATTTCCCTTCCAATAGAAAACTTGACCCATTGAGAAAAAGGAAAAAAAAAGGGAAAATTATAAAAAGTAAAAACCTCCCCTAGGTTTTCTGACAATCCTATAACCTTCCCTGTTTTGACCCTAACAAAAACCTCCCCTATAGTTTTGAAAAAAAAAAAGGTGCAAATACCTCCCTCCCGTTAAATTTTCAGATGGAAAACGCTGATGCAATGCATTAAATTTTTTTAAACACCAGATTTACCCCTGACCAATTTCATTCAGGTGTAAAAAGGGCAGACCATTACACAAGGCTCCCACCAATATGGGGTCGGGGGAGGACAGATATACACAGCCTTACCCCTACAAATACATAGTGAAGTTGTTTCCAAGATTTAAACCCTGGTCACCAGGTCGCAACTGAGAAACCTAACAGTTGTGCCAAGGCCCACCCTCAACTTCATTAAGATGCATATTTACTAAAATACTCCAAAAAGAACAGATTCTCTTTTCTTTATTTTGCTTCAACCTTTTCACCTTACCCTGTTTGAGAAGAGTAGAGAGAATCACTCTATTGAAATTTTAAATTGTGTATGACAAAGCCTTAATGGTAATAATGGCATTTTGGTAATGTTAACATCTCCATTGTGAAAAGCTAACAAAAGGGATGTCTTTGCACCTTTTTTCTAAACTATGGGGGAGATTTTTGTTATGGTCAAATTTTCCCAAAAATAATGATAATGCATGACCCACGCATTGGAATAAGGTGAACTCATGATATAAAAAGCAAACTGACCAATATTTACTCCTAGGATGTCATCATCAGCATCTATATCATGACCTGAAAGACTGTTCCCTCCATCAACATTTGCCCTTCCATATATCAGGCATAGATCACTATAGTTTGGCATGGTTTTAGTTCTGTATGATCGTGCATCAGGATGTGCCTGCATGTAAAATATATGAGCTAATTGAATGACAATGTTATATGTACTTTACAAATTTAAATAATTATCAACAAACCTTGATATAAGCATCCCAAGTGTTATCATCAGCTATTACCATCTGTCGTGATTCATCCCAGGCAAACCCAGTATGGTCAAGAAGAATTCTCATGTCATTGTATCGCTTCCTCAAATTTTTGTAGCGACTTCTCAAAACATCTTTGTCATGATAAGAACCAAATTTTGCATTGAACAATGTGATCATATCATTCCATGCTTGCTTACTGAATTTATGATCAATCATATTCCCTCTATGCACCTGCTCTAGCATAATGTCAATAAAATAACGGTCCATTGGCGGTGTCCAGTCTGTCCTTGAACGATCACTACTTGTAAGGGATTCATTATAATGTCCTAAAAATCAAAAAAAAAAATCAGAGAATACATTTTTTGAAAACACATCATGTGATTATGAGTGATCTATGGTTGAAAATGGGTATAAGACAAGAGAGGGAGAAGAGAATAACACAGAAAAGGGGTGTTTCTAATTGGTTGACCCCCACCCCCAGAGGAATCAATATTTATATTAAACGTAAAAATGTACAATTGCAAAACAGTCCCTAAGAGGGACCAAAAAGAAATTACACGAGTTTAAGTACATATGATATAATACACTTCATACATGGCAACCAAAAAAAATATGCTCTAGACAGTAGGCTAACTTTTATCTTCACACATTACACTCCTAGACATAGTAAATACATGCAATTAATTAAGGCACATAAACCAAAGTTATCTTTAACAGACAACAGTGAATTAATTCCTTAATTAAGTCCCAGTATCCATGCATCACTTTAACATTTTATTAATCGCATGTCTCTAGTTCATATTGATGCATAATAACACTTAATGCTCATTAGCTTCCTACAAGAGTTCAGAGGTACTTCTAGTCAATTTGTTTACCACTAAGGTCCAAAAACTTAGATTCCAACCGCTAGGCCCATTTATTTTCATACAAGGCTATCAGAAATAAAAACTCACCACTCCTTACTCCTGGGGCATCATCATCAGCATCCATAATGTGTCCTGGATGCTTTTGCCTTCCATCAGTAGATGATTTTCCATATATAATGCACAAATCACTATAGTTCGGTTTGGTCTTCGTTCTGTATGATCGTGCATCAGGATGTTCCTGCACATATTTTGCATAAGCAACTTGCAGTAAACAATGTCAGGTAAGAACATGGTTCAAAGTATTGATACACATCGACGTGGCAGAAGGGGTGTATCGGTACTTTTTTTTTATGAATGAAGATAATTTATTAATTCAGAAAAAAGGAAGTACAGGAAACCCTAAAGAGGCACGAGCTGTTACCTCTTCAGAAAGTATTACATCAAAATAAAACAGAATTAGCCATAAATAAAATTACAAAGCAGCCCAAAATAACTGCTCCCTTGTAGCCCCTGCTTAGCTAACCCATCAGCTAAGGTGTTTGCTGATCTTCACCCAAAGAGAGGTAACAGTCATATTTCTTGTAAGCCAGTTGACTTTCTTAATAAATCTCTGTGTTGCCACATGGCTGAAGCTGGGTCTGTCAACCATCCCACAACAATTTGAGAGTCTCCCTCGACTACCAAGTGCTGAACTCCTAATTGTTCTGCAATCTGAATACCTTGTACCGCCGCTAAAATCTCAGCACTATTAGTCTCCTATTCCCACGGGGCCTGAAAACAAGGCTAATATGTTGCTCTCCGTATCTCTCAGCACCCCTCCTATCCCCAATGGGCCTGGGTTTCCTTGGCTGCTGCCATCAAAGTTCCAACTTTACCCATCCTTCAGGCGGAGGGGTCCACACTACAGATTCCCTNAGTTCCAACTTTACCCATCCTTCAGGCGGAGGGGTCCACACTACAGATTCCCTGTCCTTCCTTGTATGGCTGTTAGTCACCACTATCCAATTTCTCCAAATATCATCAAAGGAAAAGATATGAAAGAAGTCCAAAGTTCTCAACCAGTGGATGGCCCTAGTCAAGATACAATCCTCAACAGCCTGGATGCTTCTTTCTTTTTCCTTGAATATCCTTGCATTCCTTTCTTCCCAAATTGTCCACAATGCGGCTGCTCTAATACATCTCCACATCATTTTTCCTTCTTTTGTAGGCTGCACAAAAAAAGGAAGGATCGAACAGTTGGCTTAAGTCTGTGGACAGATTCCACCAACACCCAAACAAAGAAAAAATCCAACTCCAAATAGCTCTAGAAAAGGAATAAGATACAAGTAGGTGGGAGCAATCCTCACCACTAGCCCTACAAAGTACACACCAATTAGGGGACAAACACATGAAAGGCCTTTTCTTCTGCAAGCATTCCAAAGTATTAATCTTTCTATAAAACACCTCCCAACAAAAAATAACAATTTTAGGTGGAACAGGTCTAGACCAAATCTCCTTGGTTGGAAAACCCCACTGACTCGGGGAAGAGCAAAGAGACTTAAAAAAAGGAAGCACAAGAGAAGTAACCTTTTGGATGAGGGGACCATAATCTCACATCCACACTAAGAGGGTCCAAAAAGACACTGCCAAGAAGAGACGGTGTATCGGTACTTTGAACCCCATGTTTATATATTTTTTAGTTTTTTTAAACCTTTTCAGAGGGGTTGGTTTAAGGCATGCCTACCCTGTGAAATTGGTACTTTGAACCCCGATTCAGGGCGTATCGTGTCAAAATTTTGAACCTTGGGTAAAACAACAAATAAGAAACATACCTTAATATAAGCATCCCAGACATCATCATTAGCAGTAATCATTTGTCGTGTCTCATCCCAAGCAAAGCCACCTTGGTCAAGGAGGATCTTCATATCATTGTATTGCTTCCTCAAATTTTTATAGCGGCTTCTCAAAACATCTTTATCATGTTGTGATCCGAATTTTTCATTGAACAAATCAGTCATATCAATCCATGCTTGTTTGGTGAATGTATGATCAATCTTGTTGCCTTTATGTACCTGCTCTAGCATAAGATCAATGAAATAACGGTCCATTGATGGTGTCCAATCTGTCCTTGAGCGGTCACTACCAACAACTGCTTGGATATACCTTTCTTCTCCTACAAATTAGTAACTTAATAATCAAATTATCACTTGTTCAGAAAGGAAAAGGAGGAAAAATTGATTTATGTTTAATGACATAAATTTGCAGCAATGCTATGAAAATGCATTAATCACATTACCTACTAGCTACAAGTACTATATTAACAATATGATGCACAATAACACTAGCTCCTTGACTAAAGTTCATAGAGGTTCATTCTGCATATGACATTTTTTAGATGGTCCAGTTGGCTCTATGACTAGAGGCACTTGCTTAATCCTAAATCTTGGACTAATAGAGATTGGACCATACATAATAGAAATAATTATCTACTTATCTTAATTTCATGACATGGTAACTCACCACCAATCTTCTTTCCTGGGTTTTCATCCTCAAGATCTGTGTTACGAGCCAAACGGCTGTATCTTCCATCCACACTTTCTTTTCCATATATCAGGCACAAATTGTTATAACTTGGCACTGTTTTTATTCTGTATGATCGAGCATCAGGGTGTGCCTGCATAAACATATGAAAGACAATTCCAATTGAGAATAACTAATGCAATAAAACTATTAAACTGAAACACATCGGGCGTGTTAAACAGGTAAACCAGAATATAAAGGCAGTGGGTTGTGGCACAAAGGAGTATCAAAATAAAGGATCTAGTTTGATAATTGAACCCTATGGAACTCTGTGGGCCAGATTGAACAATGCAGTCCAGTTCATTGTATTTATTTTTGACCAGTATGGTATTTCTATACAAGGTGAGCATGAAGGGACCCCAACACTAGGTCCCAACGAAAATATCAAAAGTGTCTCAAATTGTACAAGATCCAATAGGAGCTAATAACTGAAGATCCACAATACAACTCTTCTTCGGAGTCCATCTGTTATGGACGCCTTCCTCGGGAAGACATACCATCGCCGCCGGCAGCAACAGGCACCTGACCCACCGCCAGCAGCAGCAATGATTCAGTGATACTCATCCTACCCAGTTCGGCAACAGCAGCCTTATCTAGATTAGATTAGCTCATTTGCTTGT